TTCTTTTATCGTATTCAGCCAACTCTGACTCATATCTGGTCCAGGCTTCTCTACGCTGCCTAGCGCGGTGTTGGCGCCCTTGCTTCAACTTGTTTTTCCTTTCTCTAGCCTGTCTCTGACTCTCGGTTTCTCCATCGTAGCCCTGGGCAAAGGGTGATATGTTGGACTCTGATTCATCTGATGACCTGACATCGGGTGCTTCTGGGGGATTTAATGGTGACCGAGGACGTCGAACCATGAGCACCTCCCGTGCGTGAGCCGTTCCGTTATTGGTGTTAGTTTTCATACTGTCGGAGTTGCTGATGACTTTAGTAGGCGCCTAGATGTCGCAGATCGAGTCTCCTTCTTGGTAAGGTAGAATAGCTGTTGTTATTGTGCCAACTAGTTGGGTTCCGCTATCTTCAGGAACGGAACCTGGCCAGTGGATGATACAGTTTTGCGATGTTATCGTTAGCACGAGACCCTCCTGAGCTCCTGTCAGTGGTATCCCAAGCATTGGATTGAAAGACCTTTCGAACTGTCCCTGATAGGATTTTGTCGTGTTGTCGAGCCCAAATGGAAAAGAACTCGACCTTTTGAAAGAACTCTGAGGATAATCCGAGTTGTTTTGGGTTGTGCTCTGGAATCCTGCCAAAAAAGAACTCGGTTTCTTGAAAGCACTCGAATAAGACTTCATCTCGGACACGGAGCTTGAATTCGAGTCGGATGCGCGTAGCCGTGAAATCTTATTCGAATCAGGTATTATGAGCTGCGCGGATCTTCTAGTGAGCTGATCCGTCGTAGTTGTCGAAATAGGAAATTCTTCATGATGATCCGGATCTTTGAGGAGATGGCTTTGAAGCCTGCCGTAGTTGTCCGCCTCGCAGATCCATGAGCCGAAGATGAAAGTTAATCCCGTCGGGAAGATCATGTTATCGAGGTCCATCGAGCTCTCGGATGCAAAGTCGCCGAAATCCCCTACCTGGCGCGCCAGCTGTCGATGTTTCACCACCGATAGCCTGCCACGGGGGTTCCCGGGGCAGTATGTTTGGGCTTCGGCGTATGCTGAACTCGATGGTAAACGCAAGAGACAGTCGATTTATCCTGGTTCAGGCCCTCGATCGTAGATCGAGTAACGACCCTACGTCCAGTCGGCGTTAGCCTTTGCGTTGGATTGATTATGAAGTGTTATGTTGTACAATTGTCGTCCTCTTCTCTCAGGAGCCCTGCCCTCCTTTATATAGTCAGGAGGCCAGAGTCCTAGTCGGTTTACAATGAGATTTCCTAGTATGATTACTTAATAGTTCTACTACTAAGATTACATGGGAAGAATCCTAGTTGAACTAGATCTTCTCTCTCCCTTGCGGGGTATCCTGTGGGTCCCGCATCGACAAACGGTCAATGAGATATCACCATTTCTACTCTCTTATCTGAGAAATATGACTAGCTTTTTTTTGCAATTGTCCTATTCTCGTCCTCTTATTGAGAATGCATATGCTTGCCATTGTATATTATTTTCAAGCATCAGGTATGGAGTCATAGATGAAGTCGGATCCAGTCATACTGTAATTGGGTATGCAATTTGTGTGAACAAAGGATTCCAGGACTCTTTAACTGAATTCTTTCTGCTGTCACAGTTATGTACCTTTTCTCATCTCTAGGAGATTAACTGCTTCCATAGTTATATGATTTTCAGCTTAACTTATATTCAGTCACAAAGGAAATGAACATTTTGTAGAGTTTATTATGGAGTGGAATTTAACATATTGCAAAAGATTAGACTGAAGCCATGGTGATTGTTTTTTCCACTAACAAAAGGGTGTGAATAGCATGGTGAGTTAGAAGACTTAGATAAATGATTGATCCTTAATCATGTGTCTGATGTAGATTTTGGCCTATTTGAGGCACCTAGGCATACCCAGTGCAGAGAGTTCCTGCTCTGTGCGGGGTTTGGGGAAGGGTGTTAGTGTCAAGCCTTACCCTCGCCTGTGCAATGCGAGGAGACCGCGACTCAAACCCGGGACCTTCCGGTCACAGGCGGTAAGACTCTACCGCTTACACCAGGCCCGCCCTTCATTTGAGGCACCTAGGCACATAAAAGAATTTGTTAAATGTATTTATTCTCAGAATACAGTGTGTCAATCATGAATTAATTTAAGGCTCACAGCGCAGGTGACTAATAAGTGCGCTTTCACCTATGGGAGCCAAGTCGAAACAACTGGAACATAGATGCAGTTCTATTTATTGGATAGTTTGCAAGTCTTAAAGTGTACTGGGAACAAACCTTGTATATCTGTCAATGTCTGTGGGAAGCCGATGTGATTTGTATCTCATGGAATAGGTATATCCAGTAGAGAACTTTGTATTAATATTAATATTATGAGTACTATCACTTACGAACATGGACATTGTTAGACTTGCCAGTTGCATCGTAGGTTCAGGATGTGGTGGTGGCAGTTTCTCAGTTCATGATCTTAGATGAATTCAGGTATTTCCTGGATAAATCAATTTTTCATGTGCTTATGTGTATTGGATGGAGGCTAGCTTATGGTATTTTTCATCAATTTGTGTTTCGACAGCGGTGCCCCCACGAAGCAATTGGCTGCGCCACGACAGATTCATTACTCGCTGATGGCGCAAGCTATGTGACAATATTTCTTCCTCACTGGAGGAGCTACATCCCTGATCTGGTCAAAACCCATGCCTTTCGTAAGAGTGCGAAAGCAAGAAGCTATTTTTTATTGGTTAGTATAATTATCTGACCTTGACATTTGTATATTTGATCACCTGTTTGACTTTTTTTGTCTCCTAAATATCTTCTAAAACAGTGTAGTGCCACTTATGAATGGTATCTAAGAACCTCTTGCAGTTTTCTTGGTAAAGATGCGATTATTCATGCTCACAAATTATCAAAGTCCACCATCCACAAGCACAACCATTGGTCGGGCCTAGCCACACAGCAATCATCGGAATCAGAATCAGTTTTTTTCATGTTTCTTCGCAATTCTGTGCTTCTCTGGTGGAATGTTATAGTTAGTCTCTACAAAAAGAAGCAACAATGGTAGCAACTACCTAATTGGTAACTATAAAAGGTATTTCATTTAATAGTTAGTCTACTCAACAATTGTTCTTGGCAGAAAAATGAAATCTGTGCCAGTTGTCTATTCACTTGTTACCTGGTAAAAATTTGCATTACACTCCATTCCAAATTATAAGACGTTTTGCCTTTTCTAGATACATAATTTTTGCTATACACTTGAATATATATTATGTCTAGATACACAATTAAAAACAATGTATGTAGAAAAGTCAAAACGTCTTATAATTTGGAATGGAGTGAGTAACATGCAGTAAACCGTGGCTATTTCTATAGTTATAGAACATGTAGTGCACCATGCCTATAAGATGAAATATTGAGCTTCAAATATTTAAGAAAATGCTTATCAGCTTTTAAATTGTCTTTTAATCATGTCTGTCAGCTCTATTCTCTTGAGGTTCCCTCCAATCAAATTATATATGTGAATAGCCTTACAATTTAGCTTGAACATCTTACGTGTTGATGGTAGTCTTTCAATCATTGGACCAAGTTGTGGAGCCATCGCCATTCTTTGCTCACGAAACCAGGCAGGAGGGAGGAGGGAGGAGGGAGGAGGCAATGACATCGCCACCACACCGGTGGAGAAGAGAGAGAGAGAGGCGCGTCAAGTCTCCTTGATCGGATATTAACGAAGTAAGAAATATCATAATATTAGGATGCACTGTATCTGCTGTTGTGGGCACACCTTTCTCCCTATATATATATATGTCAATAGCCTTACAATTTAGCTTACATCTTACGTGTTGATAGTAGTCTTTCAATCATTGGCTTACAAAGGGGGCACTTAGCTAAATTAAACTACAAGCTTCGTTTGCGAGATGTTTGATCATACAAGGTGTTTCGGTTACCCATGTCTGAACTTAAATTGAAACCATGACGTACATAAGATATTTCTTTTATGTGTTAGCTGGAAAATATATATAGGGTTGTGTGGATTTTGAAACCCGTAGCAACGCACGGTGAGTATAACATACTTTGTTTTAAGGTTTTGTGAGAGATTTTTTAAGATACGCAGTATTACTCATGTGACAAACTGACAAGCACTAATGTTTATATATATACTCGAACATGTGTACATGATGGTATGAAGATGCGGTGGAACTTGAACGTGGATTTATTGGCGCACGAAAGAAATGAATATCGGAGATTTCTTCCTGCCGATATAAAACATTATCTTAGCCGTATCACAAAAAGTGTACAGTAGAGTTTGTGAGCCTGCGACGCCGCGCTTGTTAATTTCACGAACTTTGCTTTTTGGATTAAGTATCATTTTAACGTCGGTATTTAGTTTCACAGTATTGTTAGCTTAACGTGCGATCTGTGTGTTTTTAGTATAAAAGTTTAACTGTTCCGTAGCAACGCACGGGCACGAACCCGTACAGATAAAAGCAACAACAAATTGAAGTGACATTTGGCACGGCGACCCTGTATAAGAAAAGAAATCACACTACAGGCACTATTTCCCTCATCAGGAGTGCGTATCAACAGTTGACATGATTCACTAACAGTGACTTATCAGGCTAACGAGGCTATCATGTTTTACAGAGTTGAGCTAGACGTACAAGGATGTCATACACAGCAAGTGAGCGGCAAACAACACACCCATAAGCTCATTCTCCCTACAACGTGCTAAAATCCTGAAATGCAACCGACGTTCAGCATTGTCTGTCATCTGTCAAGCTTGCAGTCGCTAGCGGCTCACAAGTTTCAAACAAATTTCAGGCAAGATGTGAATCTGCAGTAGCATCCACCGTGGATAACTGGACTCGCCTTTTCACAAGGACCATGTATAACTGAAGCCAGCCGTGCTCTGCAAAAATGTGAATGGACGTGCCATAGTACTGAGACGGAGATCTGAATGAGCAAACTCCCAAAATATGGCTGTTATTCTGGATCCTGTCTCCCCTTGTTCAGACCGATGGCATCACAACTGTAGATGCGAAGGGCAGCACAGCAGCTCCTGAGAACTCACAATGCGAGAAGCTGACTCCTTTTCCTCTACCAACGGTTCGTCTGGCAAATGGCCGGTACCATTTTCCAATTGGTCCTCCCTTGTATATATCTTGGAACCAGGAGACGGCAAATGGGAGTTCATCATGGGGACAAAACCAGCTGCAGGAGACCCATTTGAGGAATCTACGGCTGACTGCGGCTTTTTCAACTGGGACTTCAAGCATATGATTCGTCCCTTGTTCCATTTTGGGAAGTGGAAGGATGATGATAGTGTATCATTTAGAAAGGAGTAGACAACTTTGGCGGGTGGCAGTCCTCTTGTAATTGTGCTTTTCTCCATTTCACCTCTCCTGGATATTGAAAACCTATCAGACAGACCAAAGCAGGCTAGCAGGAAAATATTCACTGAACTAGACAATTATATGTGAGTGAAGGCAAGATATTGTTCTATGAGAATAAAATTGAAATGATAATTATGGAGTATTGTTATCCTGTGAAAAAGTTCATGTTTCAATTTTGTACTTGCAGTAAAATACCCAATTATACCCTCCAAGGCCCTCTCTTCATGTAAAGTTCAAACGGCAGTATAGGCACTAGCTTAAAATCAAGTTGCACTTCTGTGAATATATCAAGCAAAACAACTGAACTAATTATAGAGCCAATTCAAGAATATACCATAAGAGAGCAACAGAAGATGATAATATGAAAGGAACATTTGAGTATTAGGCTGGAAGCTTACAATACAACAACAGATGCTAACTGTGGAAGATCTTCATCTTCTACTAGTCTGTCATAAAGCTTATTGAGCCATACTGACACAGCCACCAGTGCTCCACCTACCGACATCCTGAAATGCAAACTGATAGTGAGTACAGCCTAGCCGAAAGAAAATCAGGTTGCTTAACACAAATACTATGAACGAGACATATAGCATTACCTATGTACATCTAGTGACCAGACGAGCTTGGTATCACGATATAACTCAGGGAAGAGCCCAAATTTTACTGCTTGATCCAGAACTCTTGCAGCTCGGCCCTTCTGACCAAACCACCAAAGCACATCAAGGAGAGCATTAAAGAATCGTAAACTATAGTCACAGCCTTCCATGGTACTGTTTTTGAGGGCATATTCAACCATTTGCCAGTTGGAGCTATCATCATATTCCCCTTTGATTAGGGAAGCAATTACTTGATGTGTACTACTAGCACGATTTGTTTTCATTTCTTCCAGCAGATCATACGCATCAGACCACCTGAAAAATGAACATCGATTATAGTGTAGTCCAATCGCATTGGGTAGAAATAGGGAATGTGGTCTGCACATCAATGTCATATCTGACACCAAATAAGATAATATTTTCAGAGTATTCTAAGTTATATAAACACAAATACGCTTTGCATCCAAAGCACTGATCGTCTCCTTGACAATAGTTTGGTCTAAACTGATAATTGTGACTATAGGCATTGTGCAGTCGTCCATTAGTTTCCTGAAATCCTTAATAATGTAGACCTGGCCATACCTAGATTAATATCCATGGCCAACGTAAGATTGCTAAGCACCAGAAAGAGCACACAAAATAACACAAGAAACCTATTCCAACACAATGTTATAAACGATAGACAATATAAACGACAAAGAATTGTAGATCAAGCACAGGGGACACGAGATTTTAACGTGGAAAACCCTCCCAAGGTGGAAGGGAAAAAACCACGGGCACCAGCCAGCAAATCTTTACTATATCGGGTGAGGTTACAACCATCAGGGATTTACAACATTTCTTATCCCAAGACGACGGCTTACATGAAGTATATACAGATGGAAAACCCTAATAGGTGACGATCCGTATCCGCACCCCCCAGGTGTTCCTAGGTGCGGCGGCGAAATATGATGGGCTAATTTCAGCCTCCGCTTCGCTTCGGCCCAAGCCTCCCGACGACGGGTCTCGTTTCGCTTCGGCAGAAATTAGCCTTTATCTTATACATAACTGAATTTGGATCACAACTCAATAAACTCCACCTTGAGACAAATTCCTTCTTGTAGCATAAAACGAACCTTCACCCTGAAACAACAAAAAAATACTTCCGATGCCAAAATAGCCTCTTGGGCTAAACAGTTATACCAACTAAGCTTGAGCAAAGCTCAAACTTAGCAACAGGAACTGGCTTTGTCAATATATCAGCAGGATTATCATGTGTGCTTATCTTGCATACCTTCAGCTTACCTTGCGCGACCACATCGCGAACATAATGGTATTTAACATCAATGTGCTTCGTTCTCTCATGAAACATCTGATCTTTAGTGAGACATATAGCACTTTGACTATCACAAAATAAATTAATGCAAGAATCATCTTCAACTCACAGCACAACCACCAATAGTAAACACATAACATGTGAGAGATCTCTTATTCAAATCAGCAGCAAAATTTAAATCCACGTAGCCAGTGAGTCTCTTATCAGTCCTGCCAAACTTCAAACAAGCATTTGTTGTGCCACGAAGGTACCTGAAAATCCACTGAACAACCTTCCAATGTTCTTTACCAGAATTAGCCACGTATCTACTAACCAAACTCATAGCATATGATAAATCAGGACGAGAGCAAACCATGGCATACATCAAAGAACCAATAGCACTAGAATATGGAACTCTTGACATGTACTCAAAATCCTCATCCGTACTAGCACATTGTAAAACCGATAATTTGAAATGAGGAGCAATATGAGTACTAACAGACTTTGCATCATGCATGTTGAAACGATGAAGAACTTTCTTAATATAACTTTGCTGACTAAGAAATAACAAACCAGAATTTTTGTCTCTTGTAATTTCCATACCTAGAATCTTCTTAGCAGCACCAAGATCCTTCATCTCAAACTTACTACTCAACAGTTTCTTCAACGTAGTGATTTCTTTCTTGCTCTTGACAGCAATCAACATATCATCAACATATAACAACAAATATATAGGTGATCCATCAATAAATTTAATGTACACACAGCTATCAAATTCAGACCTCTTAAAACCATGTGACATCATAAAAGAATCAAACCTTTTATACCCGTTGACGAGGATACTGTTTCAAACCATATAAGTATCTCTTTAATTTGCAAACATGGTCCTCCTTACTAGGTACTATGAACCCTTCTTGCTGGTCCATGTATATCTCCTCCTCAAGCTCTCCATGTAGAAACGCAGTCTTTACATCTAACTGTTCAAGCTCAAGATCTCGCATAGCAACAATACCGAAAAATGTACGAATTAAACTATGCTTTACAACTGGAGACAACACATCATTATAATCAACGCCAGGAATCTGACTGAAACCTTTTGCTACTAACCTTGTCTTAAATCTTGGAGGCTCACTAGAAGATAAACACTCCTTTCTTTTGAAGATCTATTTGCAACGAACGACCTTCTTGTGTTTAGGCAAGCGCACAACATCCCATGTGCCATTTTTCTCAAGTGACTGCATCTCTTCTTGCATAGCGGAAATCTACTTCTCGCGGTCACCAGAAACAACAGCTTCAGTGTACGTAGCCGGCTCATGAATGTTCTCAACCTATTCAGCACAACTAAAGGTATAATGAACAATATCACATTCCTCAATTAAACGTGGACGAGGTCCACAACTCCTCTTTGTTCTGCGATCTGCAATAGACTGATTTTGAGGCTGCAAAACAGGAGGTGAGTGCTAAACAATATCATGAACATTGTTATCAACAATTTCAGTTTCCTGATCATCTACGTGCTCCACCTGCACGCTAACATGTTCCTGCTCCTCATCAGAACTAACTGGTGAAACATCTGCGGACAAGCTGTCATTAAACATAACAGATTCATTGAAAACAATGTTCCTGCTCATGAAAGTCTTTTTAGTTTTAGGATTTCATAACTTATATCCTTTAACTACAGAACCATAACCTAGAAACAGACACTTAATGGCTCTAGGTTCTAGCTTTCCATTATCAACATGAGCATAAGCAGTGCAACCAAAAACTCTCAACTATGAATAATCAGCAGGCATACCAGACCATACCTCAATGGAAGTTTTCTTATTAAGTGGGATAGAAGGTGATCGGTTGATCAAGTAACAGGCGGTGTTAGCAGCCTCAGCCCAAAAACGCTTGTTCATACGAGCATTGGACAGCATGCAACGAGCCCTCGAGATGATGGTTCGGTACATGCGCTCAGCCACACCATTCTGCTGAGGAGTGTACGGGATGGTGTGGTGTCTGACAATGCCTTCTTTCCTGCAGTAATCATTAAAAGCATCCGAACAGAATTCACCGTCATTGTCAGTATGAAGCAATTTTACCTTCTTTTCAGTTTGCCTTTTTATCATAACTTTCCACTCTTTAAAAGCAACAAAAGTATCATCATTATTTTTCAGAAAGTAAGGCCACACTTTTCTAGATAAATCATCAATAATGGTAAGCATGTAACGAGCACCACCATAAGAGGGCTTACGAGATGGCCCCCACAAATCAACATGTACATAATCAAGTGTACCTTTGGTGGTATGAACAGATGCATTGAATTTTACCCTCTTGTGCTTACCAAAAACACAGTGCTCACATAACTTCATCTTACCCACAGTGCAGCCATCCAACAGGTCTCTCTTGATCAATTCTGCAATACCAAGTTCACTCATATGCCCAAGACGCATATGGCAGAGATTAGTTTTACTTGATTCATCATTAGAAACAGTAGCAGCGGTGACAGAACCATGTAAAGTACTTCCTCTAAGAACATATAACTTTGCAGAATTCATATCACCTATCATATGAATGAGAGAACCTTTTGATACCTTACACACTCCACATGAATCGGAGTGTCTGTACCCCTCGGCATCAAGTGTGCTGAGGGAGATGAGATTTCTAGCCATCCCTGGTATGTGTCTCACATCTTTCAGTGTGTGTATCATGCCATCATGTATCTTGATCTGAACGGAGCCAATGCCCACGATCTCACGTGGGTTGTTATCTCCCATACGCACGACATCTCCACTCTGCACAAACTTGTAAGAACTGAACCAATCTCTGTTAGAGCATATATGAAACGAGCATGCAGAATCAAGTATCCATTTATCACAACCAGCAACACAACCAGCAAAAACAATCAGAACATCTCCTAAATCAGAATTATCAATAGCGGAGACAACAGAGGCATTACCATCACCATCGGATTTATTTTTTGGTTTATACGTACCGTTTCTTTTCTCCTTATTCTGTAGCTTCCAGCAATCCTCAATGACATGAGTATCTTTCTTACAATACCTGCAGAACCTATCCCTACCTCTAGACTTCAAACGGCCTTTACCGTTCTTGCTCTTGTCTCAATTATTGTTGTTGTTGTAGGTTTTCTGCTCGGGCCTGCCTTTAACCTGCAACACTTCGCCTTTGGAGGATGACACATCAGACTGAACCATACCTTTCATCTTCTCCCTCGTCTGGAGGGCCTCATAAACTTCCGCAAGGGTTAGTTCATCACGGCTTAATAGTATGGTATCTCGGAAATTTGCAAACGAAGTAGGCAGTGAGCATAACAGTAGAAGAGCTAAATCTTTATCGTCATCTTTTACCTTCATCGACACTAGGTCAACAACGATCTCCTTAAAGATCGATAAGTGGTTCATTATCGAACCACCTTCTTGTAGCTTATGCGTGAACAACTTCATCTTCACGTGCATCTTACTGGTTAGATCCTTGGACATGCAGATCGATTCCAGCTTGAGCCAAAGTTCTGCTGTAGTTTTCTCCTGCAGCACTTCTTGTAAAATATCATTATGTAGATGAAGTTGAATCAGAGACGGAGCGTTACGATCCTTCCGCTTCTCTTCAGCGATCCATGACTTCTGCCCTTTTCCTCCAAAACCGTCCAACGCCTCATCAAGATCCGAAGATTGTGCTAGAATCGCCCGCATCTTGACTTGCCACAGTGCAAATCTTGTCTTGTAATCCAGCAGCGGTAGATCAAACTTCATCGATGCCATCGCGAAACCCTAAGGTCAAACCAAGCTCTGATACCACTTGTTATAAACGATAGGCAATATAAACGACGAAGAACAGTAGATCAAGCACAGGGGACACGAGATTTTAACGTGGAAAACCCTCCCAAGGTGGAAGGGAAAAAACCACGGGCACCGGCCAGCAAATCTTCACTATATCGGGTGAGGTTACAAACGTCGGGGATTTACAACTTTTCTTATCCCAAGATGACGGCTTACATGAAGTATATATATATGGAAAACCCTAATAGGTGACGATCCGTACCGTGGGGCCCTCCCCCCCCCCCCCGCGCCCCCCAGGCCCCTATGTGCGGCGGCGAAACATGATGGGCTAATTTCAGTCTCCGCTTCGCTTCGGCCCAAGCCTCCCGGTGACGGGTCTCGCTTCACTTCGGCAGAAATTAGCCTTTATCTTGTACATAACTGAATTTGGATCACAATTCAACACACAAAGCATAGAATAAATATGAATTCATACCCAATAGTACCAAAGTGAAAACAGGTGGTACCGTGATGTGTGGCTCAACACACCATGAAACAACTGCTTCTGAAATTGAGCGCTCAATTGTATTGGTAAGGGTGATTGGGTGAACAAGGATCAGGATCCCTGATCTGATAAATTATTAATCTAAATTCTGTTAGCGCTTACCAGCATGCTGTTTGGTGCTCAATTGTTTTTGGAGGCTGAGGGTCAGTTGTTTTTTGCAATTTATGTTACAATTGCTTGTTTGAACTTTGATTAGCAATCTGAAATGTAGATGACAAGCACATCAAATCGCAGTTCAGAAATCTATTTTCCTATTTTCCCCCAAAACCAGTTAGTTTCATAAGGAAACTTATAACACGTTGTTAATGCAATCTAAGTTTCAGTCGAGAACATGCAATGTGCTGTTTGTTATAAAACCATGAGCAATCTTCCAGAGGGAATATGTGGCAGATTAAGACGAGTCCTTCACCGTTACCTGTCGTTCCTAGCATATAGTGACAACATCATGCAATAGGCAATGATGCTGGGCACAGTCACGCTAGATTGAAGCTCTTCAAACTGTTCTTTACTCTCATCTATGACCCCTGCTATGCAGTAGGCATTAAGTACCCCCTCAAGGGACCGCTCATCTGGATTAAACTTGGATTTGCGCATGTCCATGTACGCCTTCACTGCATCATCCAATTGTGCGCCCTGGCAATATGCTTCGATGAGGGCATCAAATGAATCTTTGTTTTTCTGAATGCCAGCATTGTTACTCATCCGAGAAAAGATGGCCTCAGCCTCCTGGAAGAGCCCACCCCTAGCATATGCAAATGCAAGAGCATTGTAGGTCTCAAGAGTTGGCAAGCTACCGATTTCGGTCATCATGTTGAAAGCAACATAGGCTTCCTGCATACCGAAAAGGTCACGAATAAATCATTTCATCACAGGTGGGATTACTCAGGGTTAAGATTTTAGGATTTGTTTCCTGACCTCATACATAGCCGCGTGGCCAAGAGCCTCAACCAGGCCAGTATAGGCGTCTGCAGTAGGTACCATTGCTTCTCTGGTCATATATTCGAGAACTTCTCTTGCATCCTTATGGAGGCCACCACGACCACAGGCAGCCATGACATTTTCGCAGGTCACCATATCAGGCTCTAGCCCAGTTTCAAGCATATCATGGAAGAGCTCCACCACCTCCTTGAAGAAGCCACCATCCCCGTATACGCGGAAGAGCACATTATATGTGGCCGTGTCTGCCGGTACAGCAGTTCTCATCTCACGGAAGAGTTCACGCACTCCATCAAACCGCCCCTGCCTTCCATAAAGATCGAGCAGGACACGGTAAGTGGCAGCTGTTGGCGCACATCCATCAGCCTGCATCTGCCGCAGCACAGCCACCGCCTCAGCAGTGGCGCCAACACGCGTGTGTGCCTCCATGACTCCATGAGTCCTAGATACGCAGAGGCATCCGCCGTGTTCCCCATGACAGCCATTTCGGAGAACAGCTCGGCTACACGGGAGAGGTTGCCGGCGCTGGCAAAGGCATCCACAATGTAACGATAAGATACAGTGTCCGGGGAGACGCCGGCCTCAAGCATAGTGCGCAGCAGCATTTCAGACTGATCAGCCAGGAGGCGGCGGCGAGGAGGGTGTTGTAGGTGGTGAGGTCGGGGCGCACGGAGGGGACGCGTCGTGCCGCATCTCAGCGAAGAGGCCGAGGAGCATGTCGAAGGGGACGGGTGGGTCGGTGGCGCGGGCGCAGGCGGCGAGCACGGTGTTGTAGGTGGCGGCAGTGGGCGCGACCCCCGCGGCCTTCATCTGGTCGAGCAGCGCGCGGGCCTCCTCGTGCAGCGCGTTGCGCGCGTAGGCGGCGATGAGGGAGGTGTAGGAGAGCGCGGTGCGCGACTCGGCGGGGAGGTCGTGGAACACCTCGAGGCACTTGTCGAGCAGCGCGGGGCCCTGGCGCCCGAGCACGCCGATGACGATGGCGTGGATGTGTTCGTCGGGGCGGCACCACGACTGGCGCTGCATGTACTTGAAGAGCCGGAGCGAGCGCTGCCAGTCCCCGCGGCGGGAGAACTCGCGGTACACGGCCGCGAAGTCCTGCAGCGTCAGCCGGTGCCGCGCCGTCTCGAGGCAGCGCGCGATGGAGCCCCGCGGCGGCAGGTTGCTCAGCCTGTCGATCAGAGACTCCACCTCGTACGAGCTCCTGCCATTCCCCGCGGGCACCAGCTCCTCCCTTCTCGACACGGCCGCCGTGGACCCCGCTCGCTCCAGCACCGCAAGCCCGCCGCCCGCACGTGGCAGCACCGGTAGCCTCGCGCCCGCGCCGCCGCGGCTCCACCTCGGCCCGCGCCAGCTCCTCCTGGCCCCCGGGAAGAGGAGGAGGTCGCAGTGGTAGGACGACGACGCGACGGTGGCGGTGGAAACGAGCGCCATCGCCGCGCCCGGAGGGGGTTTAGGATTGGGTTATCTGATTCCTGTCATTATATAGCCTGGTCAGCTGGGCTTATACGACTGTATATTATAGTTGATTATAAATTAGAATAGTATTTTTTTTTCATATCAAATTGGTGAACAGTAAATCGTTTACGACGAAACCAACGGGCTGATAATTTTTTAAGTTTAAACCTACGCCATTAGATTCTATCTCTGTTCTATCCATACTATTTTCTACGTTCCCCACGTACATGGGCCCACTTAAAGACACGTATGCCTACCGGAACGTGTATAGACGTTAAGTCCCTTACTCCGTCAGAACGAGTCCGCCCACGGCAGAGGCGCGCTCGCCGCGGCGGCCGGCGCGAGAGGCGGAGCGGGAGTGCTCGCCCGCAGTGGCCTGCGCGCTCGCGAAGCAGGCGGCGCTCGCCCGCGGCGACCTGCCGCGCCAGAGGTCATCGCTGAGCTCGGACACGGGAGGCCCAGGGCCATGCACACATTCGGGACACGCGCGAGCGAGATGAACATGCTGCAGGAGTCGCACGCGTTCGGGACACAAACAACATTCGCTGGCATCTCAACAATCTGTAATTTGCATGATGCAGCACTACTCTATAACAATTCGTTGTCATCTCATCAGTACTGCATTCACTGAACGTCTAAACGAGCACTCTGCACCGGAGGAAGAAGGGACGAGGACGAACGAGAACAGGGGCACGCACGGACCTTGATGAAGACGACGCCGGAGCCCATCAACCTGACCCCGATCTCGGTGTTCGCGTGCGGCCCCTGCCCCCGGGACGTCCGCATCCGCCCCTTCGTCCCCTGTCTATGTTGCCCCGCCCCGGATCCGCGCCTGCACAGCCTGCCCGCGCTCCAACAGACCCGCCACGCAGCCGGCGTAGGGGAAGCCGGTTGGGGACATCGGACGGACGCCAAGTTGGCGAGCCGAGCCGCGGGGCTGCTGGCGCGCCGCTGTAGTGCGGCCTCTAGATGCACCAGCGCGGCGCCGGCCAGGAGCCCGTTGGTTGCGGGCGTGCCGCTGTCGATGGAGAGGACGCACACCTCTCCCGTGGGGGCCGGAGGTGGAGCGGCGGCGCGCGGCCTGCGTGCGACCGCGTCGAGGCGAGCGTCCACCAGAGCGGAATTTTTGCCTCCGGGCCTCCGGGGGAAGTGGATAGAGTCGCAGCGCGCACTCTCCCGAGCGGGCTGAGCTTGACCAGCCTGTCCGCCGTGGCTTCGATTCAGTTAAAAAGACACTTCCGTTCCTTTCCTATTGGGTCCTCTCTCACCAGCACGCCGCCGCACGCAACTTGCGACAGGTCAACATCGCGGCGGCATCTCTCATCCAGTCGCCCCCAGCGGCCCAGCGACTGCTGTTCCATGGCGGAAGGCGACGGCGCCGGCGCGGCGGCGACAGGGAAGCTCTCGGAGCTCCCCAGCGGCGCCGAGAAGGGGCTCCCCAGGAGGGGCAAGGTGAGCACTTCGTCCTCCAACGCCTGATTCCAGATTGGCAGAAAAGCCGAGGGTTTGGGAGCGGAGTCCTCGTTTCCTCCGATATGAAACCTAGCGGAGGTGGTGAGGTGCAGGATCCGAGCTCGTTTTCAATATCCATGGCGGCGCTACCGCCGCGAGGTAGTTGCCGGGAAGGGGCGGCGGTTATCCCCATCCTCACTAAAGTTGGATATAGTGGTTCGGAAATCTGATCCTGAATCAATCTTTGGTACAAATTTCTCAGTAATAAGCACAGAAGTCATTTAGCTACCACAATCTAAGGTTGGGCTTGGGCAATAAGAGACATGACGGCCGCAATGTCTTGTTGAACATCTCAGCATGCCCACTAAAAAGAAGTCCTCAGCATACTGAACTATAGTGTGTTGTAAGTACTGCATATAGTCACCATGTTGAACTGTTCTGGTGGCCATCAATGCCGTTAAATTATGTTGCTGGATATCCTTAATGTAAGAGAGACATTTCGGTTGCCAAAATGTTGCATTTACAGGAAATGAATGGCGAGATATTATCCAATTCCACTAAGTGACATTCAACTATTGTGCTCTTTTCGATGTTCACTGTTGGAGTGCTAAAAAGCTTGTCATCCATTTTGTCATGTACTATTTTTGTTTCATTCTAACCAATTATTGTGCTTGCTTTAAACAGATAGAAAAAATAATATGTGCAATCTATATTTATTTCTGCGAATGTCTATGCTAGTTGTATGACAAAAACTTATTTTTTGCAGGCTTCTTCCGGGAGGACATTAAACACTGCACAAATTCCGCTTGTTGCAAGCCATCCAGATGTGTATGAGCCATGTGATGATTCCTTTGCCCTTGTTGATGCACTACTCTCAGACAAAGCACAGCTTTTGACGCTACAGCCAAGGTTATGTATGGAGGTTGGGTCCGGCAGTGGTTATGTCATCACCTCTCTTGCAATCATGCTCAGGCAGTTAGGCTCTGGAGCCCAGTACCTAGCAACTGACATCAACCAACATGCTGCTGAGACAACTCAAGCGACCCTTGAAGCTCATGGGGTGCATGCAGATGTAATTGTTACTGATATTGTGTCTGGTCTTGATAAACGCCTTGCTGGTATGGTTGATGTGGCAGTTGTTAACCCTCCTTATGTGCCAACTCCTGTGGAAGAAGTTGGATGCAAAGGCATTGCTTCGTCTTGGGCAGGCGGTTTGAACGGGCGCCAAGTGATAGACAGGATCCTTCCTGCTGTGCGTGAGATGCTATCGGAAAGAGGGTGGCTGTACATGGTGGCCCTCGAAGATAATGATCCTTCAGATATATGCCATCTGATGAGCGAGATGGGGTATGCATCGCGCGTTGTGTTGAAGAGGTGTACTGAGGAGGAGAGCCTTTATGTTTTCAAGTTCTGGCGAGATCCGCATGCTGTTTCAAGTGCGTCTCCTAAATCTTCAGGCTCTGAGTCATGGTTTTCTCAGTTGCCATTCAAATCCCTTTGGCACAAGAACTCGTAGCATTTCATGGCCTTGCCAGTTCGGAGTCTTCATCAGCTCCAAAATATAGCAAGAAGTCTTTTGCAAATTTGAGATGCCTGTATGTTTAGATGTGTTCGATTGAAATGTTACTGTTGTTCTGACTGCCTCAGACGCTCAGTGCAAGAATCATTCTAGCCTGATTAGTTTAAGGCGCAAACGAAACTTGTCCTTGCCAGAAAGTACTGAATTTATTTTGGTAGCTTAAATTGTTACCTTATGTTCTCTTCGTGTGTATATACATATTCTACGTTGCTACTATGGATTCTTTATCTTGCTGCATTTGGAATTTGTGTTTTCTGTACCAATTATTGCGTTTAAATGATTATTTCAAGATGAGAGGAAAATAAGATTTGGGCTGCTTTTTTCTTTAACCCTGTATATGAGATCAGTTATAGAAAAATAATATCTGGCGCATGATCTTCAACTGATTTAGGCGGCCACATACCAAATGAAAACGAAACGAGTACATTATTTGGTCCTTGTTACCCTGAGATACTTTCAGTTTTTTTGCTCTCTTTTTTGTGTGCTGTATTTCTGTGTGATTACAATATTAACTTAACAGTTTAACACCTCTTATTTGAATTTCACAATTCTGGGTACAAAGTAGGTTTTGAAACTAAAATAATAGAGTGTAAAGGTCTTTAAACTTACGAGTAATAACTTCTTCAAATCGTAAAAAGAAAACTTTAACTTCTTCATCAGTAGTCTAAACTGACAGAAAACAAAAATGGACTTGGAATATACATTCGTGGGCTATGGGCCTGGGCCCGAAGGCTACGCAGGCCAAAAGCCCAAAATCCATTCACACGCATGCCCATGGGGACATGAGCCCGGCCATCCTGGCTGGCCTTGTTCGTCTCGCCGGCGACGACGGTCAGTTGCGGAGCCACTCGTTCCCATCCCAGCGACCCAGCCTGTGGTGAGGCTCCGACGGAGCGCTCGCCTGCGGAGAAAGGAGAGATCCAGCGCTGTGTCCAGTCGGCCGTCCATGGAGGCGGCGGCGGGCCGCAAGCGCGCGTACAGCATCATCGTGCCCACCTACAACGAGCGCCTCAACGTCGCCCTCATCGTCTACCTCATCTTCAAGCACCTCCCGTAAGCACCGCCCAGCTCCCTCTCTCCCGTCCGGCCCTGATCTGTCTCTCTCCGTTGCGCCTTTTGCTGCTACGGTTGCGTCGAGATCTTCAGTGGTGAACGTTGTCGGATTCGATTTCACTAGATTAGATGTCATTCGGTTGCGTGCGTCATCTGGATCGTTTAGATTAATAACCTACTTAACAAGAACCGACCTGATCTGAATATGTGAATTTAACTGCCGATATCTGTTTAGGTGTTACCTTGCTCTGAGATCCAACTGCAGGCACATGTGAATCATAAAGTAGAATCACTTGTTACTCCATTATGCGTCCAAGTAGATGACATAGATTCTTTATGTTCCCTCTTTGCTGCAATTCGAACTCTGTTATGCGGACATTAACCAGCCCTCCCTTGAGCTCTGCTTGCACATCTTACAGTATATAGTTGCAGAGTTCTAATGATGCCAGTACTGTTGAAGTGGTCACTATCCACTAGTTTTTTTTTTTTTTTCCCTGAGAACAAGAACTGAAACAATTTTCTAGTTCTATTTTGCCAACATTTGAGCTAGAATTTGCTTCTTGTTTATCAAGTCTTGAACTGTCATAGTGGCAACCAGTTTTCCTTTTTACTTGTGTATTTTGGCCATACAGGTCATAGATACCCTTCATTCTAGTGCTGCCCTGCTGGGCGGGCCTAATTCAATCCATCACACAAAAAAACTTGAAAAACTTTTATGAGTTCATCGGATATGTCAAATGGGTCATGAGAAGCTCTCCTGCTTGGATATCAAATGCACTATTAGGTATTACAACTTGCAACTGTTGGCTTGTTGTGTGTCCCTTTTCTTAGAATGTCACCATGCGTTACATGGCCATTATTTAACTTCCATTGTTTGCTGGAAGCTTGTTAC